TTTGGTTCGATTTACACCGGAGGAATGGCCTTCATCACGTTTTGGTTTGTTCAAATTCCCCCCTGTTATTTTTCAGTAAAACATACAACTCAAAACAATGTTTACACAGATTTGTAACACATTCGCTGATGTGTGTGTGTGTGTGTTTGATCCAACACCTACCAGCTCGTGATGTTCCCTCCACTTTCACCCCACCCCGGGGAACAAAACCGTATTTTTATTTTTTACCAGAGTTGCCTGGCGTATAAGGCCACCGATTGATCAGTCACACATCGGGTCGGTGAATTGCGTGCTCGCGGCCATTCCCTGCTTGGTCGGTTGTAGTAGCAACTGGTTTCGGTCCGTGTTGTATGCACAGAACAGTACTGTGTAGTCTTCTCACATTACACGGGTGTATTTGATCGGATGTGTGGGGTTGTGCGTATTCGATTGTTTGATCGGTTACTTACGAGGTATCGAACTTGAAATAAATCATGTAGTGTGTGGATTGTTCTGTCACATCAATGTCCCGATGAAACGAAATGTTTCAATTGTGCGCGTGTGTACGCGATGCGATGCGAATAGCATCATCACCATCATCAGCTGTTGCCCGGTTCAAAACTGTGATTCTTTCGTTACGTGTGGGTCGGTTTTCGTTCGATGGCGAGAAGTGTGCATTTGAGCATCGGTTCCCTAGGGTGCCTCCCCCACAAAGAACAGCTTCCATTCAGCAAGATTACACAATGTAGCGGTGACATGAATTTGGATAACTTAGTGATTAGCTCAGTAATTATTCGTGTTACTGGACATATATGCCTTATTTTTGTATTGGCCAGTGATTACGTTAATCTGTTGTAAAAATGCACACACACATAAGCGTACTTTTTGATCACCCTGTGTGGTTGTTTGCGGCTCCTATTGCACTCATCTCGTGAACGGAAGATGTTCCCGTTTTCTTTTCAATTTCTACTGTGGGTCCTATTCCTTGGAAGTTCATTTAATTCCCACATTTGGATACTTTTATTAGGAAAATTATTGTGTTAAGACTAGCAAAGAACGCTGGAAAGTTGGTTCATCCTTGTAAGGACTTATAAGCACACAAGAAACCATAATACTCCGTGTGCGTGTGTGTGAGAGAGAGTAATTGAGCATGAAAAACACGAACACATCTCTGAGTGTTGCTCATCTACCATGTAGCTCAGTGGTCTATGTTGGTTGATTCCCAACCTCAATGTGCACGAGTTGAGTCCCACAGCAGTAGCGAGTGCACTGACGATCAGTCTCAGTCTCGGTGCTTGTGTTATTACCTGTCATTTGAAAGTGATCAAATGAAGACCGCATGGGCCATCAAAGCTAATGTACCATTGATAATTATTTACATGCATGCACCAAGTGATGTATATAGTGTGATAATATTCAGTTAGTTCTAACAGGATAATGCATAAATTAGTAACCCGTAATCATTATGAAAGAACCTGTTAGCGTTTGGTCGCTGAGATAAAAACAGTTCTTAATTTGCAATACACCTAAATTTATATGTCGTGTTCATAACGATTTTATGACATACCAATGCATAATAAAGAATGGAGGGGGGTATCCAGTGACAGCCAGAATGCCAGATTGGATGGACAAGACAGGGTTTGAACCTCGAGCCTTGGAAGATGTAAAGTGCCCCAATGGAGGTGACTTCAATTGTGTGACCTTAATTATTCACACATTTGTGTTAGAGTCGTAGTTCATCAACTTTTTACCTTGCCCCTTCTGTAAAAAATCGATCTTGTTGATGATTTAGGCGAATACAGCTCAACTACGCCATTCGGGGTTACCATCTATTAGATGAATATGAATGGCGTTTTGATATATTTGTAAAATATATTATCGGCTTCTGATAAAGTGAAGATAAATTGCAATATATAAAGATTAAAAAGGAATTTTTAAGTTGTCGGCTATAAAAGGTCACTCATTTTCCCCAGTGCATGTTCCTCAAACAAATAGCTGTCACAAGCACTTATTCGCTTGGAATGAAAGTTATTCTGTATTCTTTTTGTTCCTGCATACAGAATTTTATTGACTGGAGACATGACCATTCAAAATAGCAAGTTCAGCATTTGTGATTTACAAACGCTTTAATCCTTTCAATTTCTGCCATTTTCATCACCATCATCTGATTAATAGTAATAATAACAATAGTCATCATTATCGTCATCATTACCAGCACAATAAATTCCACCCGGATACACAAAACACAAACATTTACCTATCCGATGCCCTCATCTATGTTGTTAATAACTCTGACCAGTGCAAACACCAATCCCCTTTAACAACAAACCCATTTACAATCTTCACAGTGAGGACTGATATTGCGTGAAAGTGATGGTAAGTCTTCTAATCGTTATTCTCTTGTCATAATGGGTTTATTCTAGAAGTCCCCGTAACCGGTACAGTATTTTCCTGATCCATCCACATCGTAACAGCTTGTTACAATTATGATTGTCAGAGATAAACGTCAGTTTCTACAGTTTCATAATCGTTCTTTGCTAGTCTAATCACTCTTCTTCTTTTTTGCTATAAAATCAATCACCGTTGTTGTACAGTGTTCCGCTCGAGTTCGGCTTCGATCGTTTTGACTCTGCCCGGACCCATCACAGTGTCAATTGCTCAATTTTCAGGGCAAACATCGGGAGTTCATCAAAACAAATATCACTCCCTGTCCAACCGTGAACCATACTGCAAGTCGAGGTGTGAATATCACGCCCTATCGGTTGCCACGTCCTGCTTTCGGCAATCTGACATCAACTTGTGACCAGCCTGTGGTTCTGTTTGGTCTTTGAGATACTGTAAACCACACACAGACACACACACAAACTAACACTGTGTTGCCTTGGTTGTTTGTTAGTTTGAATTGTGAGAAATTGGAGTGCGAAAATCGGCCGCAGCAGTACATTCGTTTGTTCTTTCATGCATTTTTGTGGAAGGGATGCATCAACCAGAATTGATAACCGGCGCACCATGAACCGGGTGGGCGGTG